TTGCTTCGCGGTGAATCGACTACGCTATTACATCCCTACTCTGGGGTGGGGCTCAAACCAAGTGGGAAAGGTGAGGGACCAACCTTTTGTCTGGGTTCATTCCACTTGCGTTTTGCTTGGACTTGCAGGCTCTGAGGCTGGGAGCGACCAGGCCACTGAAACGACGAGTGTCTGCCAAAGCCTCCACCCCAGCCCATCCATACACAGGTCCACCCTCTAAGCCACTGGGAGTTAGGCACCTGCTGACCCCTGAGGGTCTGGACCTCCCCCCGTCAGCAGGTGTCCAAGGCAGGGACGTAACACCCTCACTGTACAGACACAGGAACCAAGGCCCGGGGAGCAAAAGCTATTTGGCCAAAGTCACTGGAAGAGATGGGACTAGCACCTAGGTCTCCTGTTCCCATCGCCCAACTAGTCCTCACAGCTTCCGAACTAACCCCAGAGCCAGGTAACGCTTGCCCAGGCCCAAGGCTCAGGTGGGCTGGCCGGGTCTCTCTCCGTTTGTGGGTCCAAGGGCTGAAGCACACGCCCACCCTCCGTGCAGAAAACAACCAGCACTCTGAGCCGGCCGGCCGAGCTTCCGTGGCCTGCACATCCCCACGGCTGGGAGAGACGAGCCCCGCACATCTGCAAGCATTCAACACCACCCCAGCCTCCCTCGTCTCCTCTTCCCTCAGCAGCGGAGCTCCGGGCAGGGTGGGGGAGGAGCAGCGCGGGGCCTAGCATGGCGGGGAAGGCTGCACCCTCCTGTTGAGCTCAGCATTGAAGCCCAGGCAGGAAAGTCCCTGAGGGGCTGAGGAGGAGGAAGGCTCATTCCTGGGAGCCAGGAGGAGGTGGAGCAGCAGCGTGAAGGCCGGTATGGGCAGAACCATGCCTGGGCCCTGAACGCTAACCGAGTGGGTGCCCCGAACCCCAGTCATGGCCCAGAAAAGCCCAGAGGGCCTCACTGAGCTGTTCTCTGGTCATTGCCTCCTCCCCAACTCGAAGGGGAACCCCCTGGGGCTGTGTCTGTGTTATTGAAAGGGGGGGGCCTACATGACAGCCCTGGAGCAGCCCACTCAGACGCCTGCACAGCCCCACGGACAGGCTAACCCAGTCCCCAGCCTGGGACTCCGAGCATCCCGGGAATCCTGGGCCCTTCTGGGCGCCAGCCCGAGAGGGGACTGTGGACTGCACAAGCCACCAGGACTGTGTTTCCCTGCCCCTGTCCCAGGAAGGGGGTGGGGGTGAAGGAATTAAGCCAGGTCTCTCCCTGGGCATCAGTGAACACTCCCCGGCCAGGGACAGCAGGGGGACTGCTGCTTAGCTCGCACTGAGCATCCCGGGAATCCTGGGCCCTTCTGGGCGCCAGCCCGAGAGGGGACTGTGGACTGCACAAGCCACCAGGACTGTGTTTCCCTGCCCCTGTCCCAGGAAGGGGGTGGGGGTGAAGGAATTAAGCCAGGTCTCTCCCTGGGCATCAGTGAACACTCCCCGGCCAGGGACAGCAGGGGGACTGCTGCTTAGCTCGCACTGCCCCCTCTTGGCAGAACCCAGAACAGTCCTCTCCCTACCTCCTCCCCTCCTCCAGCCTGGGGCAGGCCCAGAGGGCACATGGGGGAGAAGAGGTGGTGGAGAGATGCAGGTCCAGTGCTCCTGACTCCGCCCAGCTGGTGTAAGCACATTAAATACAGGCTGACCCCTTCACTCCCTGGCCAACTCCCCCAACATAATCCCCAAGCAGGGGTGGGCAATAAGTGGCCTGCAGGCCGCCAGGTGCTCTATTTACCTGAGCATCTGCAGGCACAACTGATTGCAGCTCCCGTAGACCCTGGCTCATCACTTCCACCCAATGGGAGCTAGTTTGGACCGCGCCATTTCCCGCATCTTCCATTGGGCGCGAATGTTGAGTCATGGGCAACGGGAGCTGCAGGAGGTGGTACCTACGGCTGCTCAGGTAAACAAAGCACTTCCTGGGCTATCCCTGGCCATCGTGTCCGGCCCATTGGCTGCTTCTTCCCCGTCCCTGGCCGAAAACCAGCAGGGAGCCGCTGGAGGCTGGCCAGGCCAGAGGGCTGGAGCCACACCGCCCACAGACACCTTAGCAAGTCCACGGAGCTTTACCAGAGTGGCCCAGCGGAGAATCCAGACAGTTCGGGGGGCCGAGAGTGGCTGCTGCTTAGGGCACCTGTTTGCCCATTTCAGGCCAGCTGTGCTAGGAAGCTGCCATCACCTGCCAGTCCCATAAAGCACCCCAGCCCGGTCAGCTTAGGGTGCCAGGCAGGAGCTGGTTTGCAAGGGGAGCCAGTTAAAAAACCAGTTTCCCTCACGGACCAGCTGCCTGTTGCCCTGCGCTGCTGCCTCTGATACAGAGGCAGCAGCATGGGGTGGCAGCAGCCCCTGTCCAGGGCAGGGGGTCAGAGCTCCTGGACCCAGCACGAGTTGCAGCTAAGCCGGCTGCCTGCCCACATGGCTCCTAATACACTTTAAATGCAAAGCTGCAGCGGGGGCAGGTCCAGGACCCAGCACAAGCCAGAATTGAGCCGGGCTGCTGGCCTGCCTGCTAAAAACTTTCCTGGCAAGGGGGAAATGCATGTCGTCTATAGCATGAACCTATTGGTTACTCGACTGCACTATTCCATCCCTAGCACATGGGTCTCTTCCACTGAATCCCGGCAGGAGGTGGCAGCAAATCCCTGGGAAGCGAGGGCATGCGATACCCCTCCAGGGCTGGGCCTTTGTGGAGTCTCTGGTGTCCCGGGGCAACCCCGCCGGAGGCCCCCTGCCCGGCGCTCTAGGGGACTGGCACAGCACCCCGTGGCCCAGTGCCAGGTGGCTGCTCTGCTCCAATTGTAACACACAGACTGAGGCCTCTGTCTCCAGAGCCACGGGCTCTCTCTAGGCCCCTCCCCGGCCCACGCACTGCCCCCAGCACCCCCATTTGCCACCCTGCCTCTGCTGGGTTAGGGACAGATGCCACGGAGGGGCCCTGCCACCGGGATTTCCTCCCACCGCTCAGGCACAGCGGCTGGGCTCTCGCCCTGTAGCTTCCAGGGAAACCAGGAGGTGGTGCTGCCAGGCAGCTGAGTGGCTGGGGCAGCACTGAATCCTCCCCCAGGCCTCTCCTGGGAGCAGCCCCGGGGATGAGCAGGGCTGGATCGCTCTCACCCTTCAGCAGCAGGGCCCCACGCAAAGGGCTGGGCTGCTCTGGGATCCCGCAGCAGCAGGCTCCGGTGCGAGGGGGAGACTTGCCCCATAACTCCTGCAGGGCTTTGCCTGTCATGAAAGAAGTGCCAGGGTGTGCGCCATTTTTTGCACTCACAATGGATGCGACCGGAGGGGCTGGGGCTTGGAACTGCCAGGCCCGGAGGGGGGCCCAAAGGAAGCACTGGAAATCCTCCTGGCACAACATGTGCCCGGAGCAGGAGCAGCTGGATACGAGGCGGGCGGCTGGCCGGCCGGTCAGGACTGCAGGGCCCTGGCAGAGCTATGGGGGTGGGGAGCAGGAGAGAAGGACTCTGATGCATTAACCACCCTGGGCAGGGCAGCAGAAGCAGGGGCTGCCGCGGTTCACAAGGGCCTGGCTGGATGGTGGGTACATCTGGGGAGAGAGGGAGGGACACAGCTGGGCAGGCAAGTGCTGCCTGGCACTGGCGCATTTGCCACTCAAAGCCTCAGCTGCCACTTTGCCCCCTTGGAGCAGAAGCCTGGCCACTCACCAAAGCGCCCGCTGCCAAGCAACCCAATGCCAGCATTCCCACACTGCTCCTCTGGCGCCGGCTGTTCCTCCTCCCCAGCTCTATGGCCTGTTCTCTTGGGGAACGGCCCCTGCCTAAACTCTCCACTCCATCGGAGCCCAGGGGGATGGGCAGCAACCGAGATCCAGCTGCCGCTCTGTGATCCTGGGGACCCATCTGGGCTGGGTCCTGCTCAGGCACAAATTATAGCAGCCTAGGGGTGGCTCTAATTTATGCCACTGGTTTAAGGTAAGGATGTTAACTAACGAGTAATTTACTAGTCAAGTAGTCGACGGAATTTCCATCGACTGCTCGACTATTCGATAGGCACTTGCGCGATCCTCCTTTGAAATGTACAAGAGCCCAGCGGGCAGCAAGGGGGGAGGAATTGACTAGTCGACTCGACTATCCGATGAGCATTTGCTTATTGGATAGTCGACTAGTCCTTAACATCCTTAGTGTAAGATCCCTAAAAGATCCTCCAGTCAGCTTAGCACAGCTCGGAAACACCCTCTGCACCGGTATCCGGGTGGGTGGGGCTGGCACAGGTGGGAGCTGTTAGCTTAATAAAGAAAGTTCCCCCTCCACCAGTAGGGTTGCCAGGTGTTTGGTTTTGAACCGGACAGTCCAGAATTTGAGCTTTCTGTTCGGGAAACAAATTGAGAAAATAGAAACGTCCGGTATTTTCGAAATGAGGTGGAATGTAGGTTGTGATGTCATGTCAAGCGTGTCTGGTATTTTTGTTGAAACCATCTGGCAACCCTATCCACCAGGGAGTTGACAGCCAGAAGCCACCCTCTTTTGCACACCCCCCCCCAGCAGTGCGAAGGGGCCAGATCACAAAGGAAAAACTGGGTGGTTGGTGAGAGGCAAAAAGAAAAATCATCTCCAGGCAGAGACAAATGCCTAGAAACAATCAACTTGAGGGATACGTCCTTGGAGATGCTGCTGCTGCAGGAGGGAGTGAATACGGCTTCGCCTTCTGAGGTTGCCAGCTCCACCGAGTGCTGAGAAAGGAGCCTTGACCCACCAGGCTACTGTGTGGATAAAATAAGCTGCTTTGAACATCTTTACAAGACGCTCACAATGCTGAGTGCACTAGAGGCACACGGCAGGGGCAGGGACGCACCCGCATTCTATTCTGCTGAGCACAGAACAATGCCACGCCCGAGAAGCAGCAGGCAGCATTACAAACACACAGCCAAGGTAGACTTCAGAGCCTCTGAGCCCTACTCCTACAGTCTGGGACAGGCGATGCTGTGCAGCGTGCAGGGAGAAACCGGCTGCTGCCAGCCGTGTGCATGTCACTGCGTTGCAGCAGGCAGACGGGCGCTGGGCAGCTGGGATCAGTTCCAGGAGAGGAAGATGACTGAAAGGAAGAGTGCAGGGCTAGATCCTGGGGCAAAGCAGCACCGCTCCAGCCAAGTCCAGGTAGGTAGCTTGATAGTAAAGTCAGATGTGCAGCCCAGAGAAGGTGGGTTTTTTAGAACCCCCCCAGGCCTTGGTGCCTGCTTTCAAGAGGAATGATTCTGGGGGCTACTGAAGAGTGGGAGGACTCTCCCTCCCTCCCTGGGGGCACGGCAGGCTTGTGGGTGGGGGTGCAGGAGGAGAGGGCTCCTCACTGGTGAATTCCCCCCTTCGAGACAATCAAGCCCTTTTCTCCTGCTTTGAGACCCCAAAATGCTACTTCTTGTATTAACCTCCCACACTTAACTATGAAGACGAAATACAATTGCCTCTGTGGGCACTGCACATGCTCCCAGAGCAACACGGGTCCTGCCCCAGGCAGCTGACATGCTGCCCAACCTAGGCTGAATTCCCTCCCCCGCTCCGCAGACGGGCCAATGAGAGGCCAAAAGTGACTTGGCCAAGGCCATGCAGAGAGTTGGTGGCGGAGGCAAGAACTAAATCCAGAACTCACCCGTGCATCATGCAGAAACTTTTTGGTGCCCCCTGCTTTAGAAAGGCTGAATCTGCTGCTGAAAGGGATGATTTAAGATTAAAGTAAAGGGGGTGGGGCCAGTATTTGAAAAGCAAGATTGGGAGCAGCTTTCCAGCAAGAATAGGGTGGGGCTGACTTCGGATTTTATTTTAGGCCTTTTTACCCATGTAACAGCCCAAACCCGCCCTCTGGCCGTTGCCCATAAGGACTGAAACCCGCCGGTGCCACCCCCCAGGCCAGCGGCCTCAGCAGCAGGGCAAGATGGCTTTCATCCCCCATGGCCCAGCCCGGGGACCAGCTCTGCCCTTCAGGGACAGTGCCAGCTGCCCCGTTCTCCTTGTTCCTGCAGATCACCCCATTCCCAGCCAGCCCAGGCCGGACGAGGGGTCAGTGAGTCCTTGTGTAAGTAACCAAACCCCACACAATACCAGAGTGAGTGTGTGTGTGTGTGTGGGGGGGGGGGGGGGGGGAGAAACATTTTAACAAGCTGAAATGACCAGCAAGACCCTGTTAGCAGGCTGCATGCGGCAATTAGCGGCTAATGAACGCTCTGCACCACCCAGCACTGGAGAATTCTTTTGTCTCCCTCCATAACGAGATCAGAGGACAGGAGAGTGTGAGTGTGTAAGGGGGTTTCTATAGGCTCCCCCCCCCCAGTAGAGATTTCCACTGAAGAGCAGCTGGGGCTGGAGCGACACAACTAGCCTGTATGGGGATGCTCCCGATTTCCCTCCCACCCTAGGGTCTGTATGTTGGGGCGACTGTATCGCTCCTTGAAAGGGGGAGCTTTTCCTGCCTCTCCCAGGTGCAGTTGGCAAGGCTGATGGGTGTGGAGAGGAGGGATGACTTTGTAATTAAGACATTGGCCAGCGATCATTTCCAGCTCTGCCACAGACTTCCTAGATGACCTTGGCCAAGTCACTTAAGACTTGGCATACAAGGGCAAGGAGTCTTAGGCAATGGCAGATGTTTCTGTTAAATGGCAGTTATTATAACACAGCCAGAAAACACCACTGCAGAGAGAACCTCCCAGAACTGCTCCCCCTTTGAGCCGCACCACGGATAACTTTGGCACAGTCTGAATGGGAGGATGAACCTTGGCGTTCGGTCCAGTGGTTTCAAACGATAGGTAGACTTGGTGCACGAACACGCTCCCAATGTGTGCGTGTTAACACGTGACCTTTCTGCCCTGTGTTTTAACAGTAGGCGGAGCCAAAAAACCTTCACTCACCCTTCCCGCCAGACAGACTTTTGGGCCTGGGACCTAGGACACACCAGGCAAGACCCTGCTTCCCAAGCGGATGCATCTCCCCTGCAGAGGGATGTATCAAGAGCTAAGCTCGTAGGTTTACATGACCCCAACGATCCAGCACCTGAGCACCCCACATCTTCAGTGCATCGATCCTCCCAACAGTGCGGTGACTTAGAGGGGTTATTGGCTCCATGTTAGAGATGGCTCCTAAATCCCTTTTGGATCTGGGCCCATGAAGTCCATGGCAGAGCTGGAATGAAACCCGGGTTTGGCCCACCATGTCGGCAAACAGCCCTCTGCCTTTTACTGAAATGTGGCTGGCTGCTGTGATTCTCCCCTCCAAAAAAAGTAGCTAAACAGGAGTCACGGGCAGGAAGAGAAACCGAAACTGCAGAGGGACAGAGTACCGGGAATGAGACATGGGTGCAATTTGGCCAGAAAAATGGTGTTGTTATTGTGACATGGTGGACTCACAAGGCAGCTAGCCATGAGTTCAGGAAGGCCAAAGTTGTATTCTCCCAGATTAGCGGATCGAGCCGAGCCCTCCCGACGGCCAGTGCAAGGCCGTAACCAATGGGCCGTCCTTCTCTGCGACTCGGCCAGCTGCTGAGCACACCTGGCTGCTGTGGTACGAGAGCACCCGGGAGGGGATCGCGTGGCTACTGGAAAAGCGTGAAACTGCCCAGTGTGTGAATAGCAGCACTGAATGCACTGGTGCTACCCCTCTGGATGGGGCTTTGCAAGTCACTCTCCCCCACTTAAGAGGAGCCAGGCGCTGGCCAGAGAAAAGGAAGCCTGCCGGCTCCAGTCAGCATTGGGGACCAGGCTGTTAAGAGTCTGGTCGACAGCACAGCAGGGCTAAAGCAGACTCCCCCTGCCTGGGCTCCACGTGGCTCCTATGTGGAGGGCAGCCAGGGTGCACTGCCCACGCCTCCAGCGTGGACTCTACAGCTCCCATTGGCCCAGAACCGTGGCCAATGGGAGTGAGGTGTGTGTAGGGCCCCCTTTTATCCATCCTTTGTCCCAAGGGTGCCAGGTCTACCTTGGTTGAGGGCAGGGCTCGAACCCTTGACCTTTGGCTCCCAGAGTGGCAACGCCTCCAAATACAGGCCAGATACGATGGATACTCCTGAGAGCAGCGTGGATCCAGGGCAGGCAGGGAGCTTGCCCTAGCCCTGTTGCGCTGACAACTGCCTGAGCTAAGCGCTGCCTGGCTGGAGCCCACACCTCTCCCCCCTCCCATACTCTGAACCCCCTGTCCCATTGGAACCACCTCCTGCACCCTAACTCCCTGCAGGATCTTGCACACCTACCTGCATCCCAACCCTCCCACACCCAAACTTCCTCCTGGAGCCCCCCCCCACCTGTACCCCAAACACCTGGCCCATCCCAGAACCCCCTCAAGTTCCTCTAACCCCTCACCTCCACCCCAGAGCTTGTGCCACCCAACAGCTGGGGCCCTCACCCCCTCCTGCACCCCAACCCCTTGCCCCAGTCTGGTGAAAGTGAGGGAGGGTGGGGAAGAGCAAGAGATGGAGGGCTACAGTGGCTGGGGGAGGAGCCTCAGCGAAGGGGCGGGGCAGGGACTGGACTGGGGTTGGGGGTGGGGCAGAGCTAGGGTGTTCATGCAATTAGAAAGTTGGCAGCCCCTCCCCAAAACACGGTGTCCAATTTAGACATCAGGTGTCACCGCAATGAAACACATTAGTGGGTGCTTCCAAAGACACAGCCACCTGCTTTACCCCAATTACCAACCTCGGTGAGCCTGGAGACGTCAGCCGAGAGTGTGCTGAGTCAATACACGCAGAGAGAAGCAGAGAAACGCCATTCCAGGTGTGACGCCCCCTCCCTCCACACGCTGTATGAAGCCGCCTTATGGATACAAATGGGCATAACTCGAAGACACTTTGGACAAAGTATATCACGTCACCTATTAGTTATAATGTCACAGTGACAAGCACCAGAGCCACCCCCACAGCATCGGAACGGCTCACAGGCTGTCTGCTCACCCTCCTAACGTCAGCTAAGGAACAGTTACTACGTCACAGGTGGGGTTCAATCTGTACCTGTGTCCCAGATCAACACCTTACCTGCAAAACAGCCCTCCTTTACAGAGGAGCAGGCACTCGGAGCATAAAGAATGCCACAGAGAGAATTAAATAACTTGCCTTCCCTAGAATGTGAGGCGGTGTTAAAACACGACATTCACAATCATGCAAGCTACCGTGACTCCTTCACACAACTTGGCAATCAGTGCAGACAAGCACAGGGCACGTTTACCATTGCACCTGCAGCTAACCCCTGTTGGATCCATCGGTTTGATTTACAGCCAGCGGACACGACGATCAGCATGACGGGGCTCTGTCGATACTTGGCTGCAAAGCCACATTTAATACGTTAACTAACCTGGATCCTCAAGCTTGTGCGTTAATATCACCTACTTGTCAGCGCAGGCAATTGTCCCGCGAAAGGTCAGACCCGTGTGGTTATCACTGTCAAACGGAGGGTTATTCCGTGAAGCCCTGCAGGGGTCAGTCCTGGGTTTGAGACTATTTAATATTGGCGCTCGTGACTTGGCTAAGGGTGCAGAGAGCAGGCTGATCAAATTTGCGGGTGACACCCGGCTGTTTGGAGGACAGGCTCAGAATTCCATGTGATTTGGACACACGAGAAGACGGATGTGAAATCAACGAGAGGCAATTCAATAAAGACAAGCCCTGCATTGGGAAGGAGAAGGAGAAGTCCCGTGGGGACTGACTGGCCAGAGGACAGCACTGCTGATTAAGGATGGGGGGGGGAGAGAGAGAGGATAGAATGGCTCAAATTGAACGAGAGTCAATCACGCGATGCAGCAGCTAAAACAAGTGGCATTGATATGACACAGGAGGTCACGTCCCACTCTCCGTGGCACTGGAGAATTGCACCCAGTTCTGGGCCCCCCTGTCCCGGGGCAGACTCACCACCACGGCGCCTCCAGCTGGTTGCTCTGGGAATTAGCTTGCTGACTCACTGGATGCTTCCCTCTCACTGGTGTCTCCTGTGTTCTTCTTTGACCACAGCGTTCTCTTGTGGACACAGCCCTCCAGCAGTCTCTGAGCCCCCTTCTGGGGGGGGGGGGGGTTTACCCAACTGTGCACTCCAGCATCCTCCCCTCCCAAGGGGCACCCAGTTCTTCTATCAGGGAACGCCCAGTTCCCCTGTACCCCCCTTGCCTCAGTCTTCATCTAGCCCCTGCCT